AAATATACAATAACAATTAAACTCTTAACTGGACTAGTTAATAATTTTTTAAGAGATAGGCTAAACTCATTATTAGGTGATGACAAGTTCTACAAAAAATACAATACTATCCTGAAAAAGAATAACAACAACTTTTAACTTTTTTATTTTTAACAAGAATAGGGTATTATAATCATAATAAGGCCACAAATAGAAAAACTTAAACTAAAAGGGTAAAATGATAAACCAATAGAATGCTAAAGAGCATTTGTCTATTTTCCTAAAACAAATTATCAGGGAATCTTGATGAAAGAAATAATTTACAGACCATACTGAAGTCTTTAAAATCTATAAAACAGGTTAGAATACATGTAATGGTTTGATAAGTTAAATTACTCTTGAAAAATATTTTAGAAAAAAATTAAGAAAGTATTGTATATTTTTTCTAATCAGATTTGTAGTATAGTTTTCTTACAATTGTAATTATTTTATGATAGTTAAAATTTTACTTGTTATATTACAAACTATTAGTAATGCCTCTGTTCGACTAGATAGTATAAGAGTAGTTTTATACATATATAACAAATTTGTAAAAGTTTGTACCATATGACACATGCATATAAATTAATAAAGGATATAGTAAAATGATAAACCAGCGGGATGCTAAAGAGCATGTGTCTATTTTCCTAAGACAAATCATCAGGGAATCTTGATGGAAGAAGTAATTTGCAGACCACACCAAAGTCTTTAAAATCTATAAAATAGGTTAGAATACATATAATAGTTCGATAAGCTAGATTATCTTCTAAAAATATTCTAATAAAAAATTAAGAGAGTATTGTATATCCTTCCTAATTAGATTTGTAGTATAGTTTTCTTACAATTGTAATTATTTTATAATAGTTGAAATTTTACTTGTTATATTACAAATTATTAGTAGTGCCTCTGTTTGACTAGATAGTATAAGAGTAATCCTGTATATATATAACAAATTTGTAAAAGTTTGTGCTATACAACACATGTATATAAATCCGAAGTGACCAAAAAATTCAGGGTTAAACTAAGGTAGGCAAAATTCTCCAGAAAAACCAGAAAAAAGAAAGCACGCTTGAGAAAAAAGAAGTGGGAAGCCAAAGAGATGATAAAAAAACTAGAGACTTCTTTATTCTTGTTTCTCTAGATTCTTGAATCTTTTGGGAGTCTTTGGAAGGTATTTTTTCTTGTCAGTTTTTTTCCTATAAAGGTGTTCTTGCCATAGACCTTTTAAATGAATTTCTTGTATTTAGTTGCAAAAATAAACAAGAAAAGTGTTTTGAAAAAGAAAAATAAAACAAGTGGTAGTTTCTGCTTGCTTGGCTGGTTAAAACCAGTATTGTTTTTAAGGAAAGTGTATAAACTTTATTATTATAAAGACAAAAAATCTTTTGAAAACATCTGTTTTTTGGGTTGGCAAAAGGATCAGCGGAAAGAGTTTTTTTGGGTTTTTTTGCAGATTACTATAGATATCCACATGTAAATATGCATATGTACTTCTATTTTTATTTTTTTAATTAATTTTTAATAGATCTAGTTAGAGCTTATAGGATATAATAGAATATAACTAGTCTGTAGTTAACTATGTCTAGATAATTTTTTAAGTTCTTGTTTATCAGATAGCAAATAAGAACTTAAAGGTATATAATCTAGTAAGTTAGTTTTTCACCTTTGCTATTAGGGCTCTGGTATTAATAATATAGAAAACATGAAGAATAACAAGTCAACTAGTAAATAATATATTCTATTTTAGATAGTTTAAGAAATAAATAGAATTTGACAATTTGTTACAAAATATATAAGAGTACTTATAACAATATTCAATAAACAAGGTATATATTAGTTATTACAAAAAAAAACACATAATTACTTATTTAGTATTTACCTTGAATATAATAATATGTTATTATAATTAGTTTTTTTTTTAAAAAAGTTAAATGACATTAGATACAAATTTTATTGATATATATTATTTGTCTATTATATTAAATATCTTTTATAATATATGACTATAACTAAATGTCAATTTATTAACTTTATTCACTAGTATCCAAAAATCTGTTACTTGATGACTTTTCTTATGATACCAAAGTACTATAGGAGTAAAAATCCTATTACTAGTTTTAAACTATTTAATCTATAGAGCTTAATTTTAAATCTTATATATATACTATTACCTATATATAAGTTACTTATTATATCATACCTTTTTACTCACTCAGTATATATAGTAGCAGATATTTTTAATACAAGTATATACTCTATAGTAAATGTTTTGGTTTTGACTGCTGGTTGGATACTATTAAATCTAAGGGTCATAAGACCAAGTGAATATGATTTCTTAAGAATTTATATAAATATAGATTTGTAAGATACTACCTATAAATCGATTCTTATTCTTCTAATAAACATTTCAGATTTAGATTGGTTAGTGTAAGTTATCAAATCTAGAGGTATAAATACTAAGCAGGATGCAATTTCTATATACTTTATCTTATTATATAGCTGTCATATCTTTATATAAGTAGTATCAGTTTAGTGCTTTACTTCAAGACTTCTTATTAAAGCAATTAATAAAGAAGAAAATGACAATTAGGATTAATTAAGATGAAGTACAGTTTAATTTGTATATTAAAATATAATGTTATTGTTTGTATAATGAACTGTGGGATTTAATTGGAATTAGGTTAAAAGTTTTTTCTTATGCAATCTTTTTTATTTTAGTAAACTTATTACAACTTCATAATCACTGAAAAGGCTAGAGGTTTCTATTTCATGCAATTTAATTAGGAAAGATATATGATAATTATTTTATAACCAGGCAAATTTGAATCCTAGATCTTTACTTGATGACCTATAGAGCTTTATTATTAAGTTATAAATTCATAAGTTTTGCTATTATAATTAGTAAATTTATAATAGTTAAGATTTGTTTAATAATAGAAATTTTTTTTTAGATAATTCTAATTTAATAATATTCTAAATATTTTTTTTGTTAATATATTGGAAAGATTTTTTAATATCAATGAGAAGAAAAATATTAATTATATTATATTGAAATATTAAATTAATTTATATACTGTAGTTATATTAAGGTTTTAGTTAATATTTTAATTCAATTGAAGAAGTTAACTGTAAAAAAAATATTATTATTAATATCTCATATTAATTCTATTAATTATCAGATATTAATTTATAATTTGATTAAAAACAATATATAAATATTTTATAAATATTATATTAATTATTTAATATTTACATTTTGAAATTAAAAAATATTTAAAATAATTAATTTATAAAATTTTATATAAATATTTTGATTAATAATAATTTATCAATTGATTAATTTTTTTTAAATATTATTAATAAATTATAATTTCAAATTTGAATTAATTAATTTTAAACTTATCAATTAATAATTTGAAATATTAAAATTAATTTGTTTTTTTAATAATATTTGTAAAAAAGTCAAAGAAAAAACAAACATTAACAAATATTTTTTTAAGATATTATCAAAATTTATATTATAATTAGTCTAAAAATATTAGAATAGGTTTTATAAAAAATCAAAATTATTAATAAAATCATTAAACTTACTGTATTTGAAAAAATTTTATATAAAGAATAATTAAAATTTTTATTAATATAAATTTAATTTTTTTTAAAAAAAAACAAATAATAATATTAATTTAAATAATAATTTTTTTAATTTATTTTTAATAATTTGTTATTTTGCAAAATTTATAAAAAAACAAAAACTTTTAACTATTATTTAAACTGTTTATAATATTTAATTTTAAAAATTATTAAATATTCGAACATATAATATTTAAAATATATTTAATCAAATCAATTATATTTTTTATCAAATTTAAATCTATGTACACATATATGTAATTATCTGTTAATTTAAAAAAACTTTAAAAGAATATTATAAATTGAACAACACTTTTGAATAATCAAAATTTTTAAAATTATAATCTAGAAAATTTTTAATAAATATCACATTTATAATACAAAAAATTTTGTTTATTTACAGTATATAAAATTAAAAAATATAACATTTTTAATTTAATAAAAAATAATCAATAATTATTTGAAGCAAATATTTTAATTAGATTATAAAAGAAAAAATAATAGAGATGTTTTGAAAAATATTAGAATGATATAAAAAAAACAAAATTGATAAAATTATAACAAAACAAATAAACAAATATTAAGTAAAAATAGTCAAGTATAAAATCAACCATAATAAAGATTCTTTAAAAATAAAAACAAGAAAAAGTAATTTTATTTATTTTTTAAAATGATATTTGAAAATAAAATATTAAAAACAAATATCAAAGTATAAAAAATATTCTATTTTTAAATTAAATAAAAACAATAGATACTTGTTTAGTTACTGGAAGAAAAATTTTAAAAAATCTTAAATCATCAAATAATAGGAATAATGTTTGATCATATTGATTTTTACCATTATATTTTTATATGAAATTTTTTTACTTAATCACAAAAATAAATATAAAAAGTATTGCATTTATAAATTAAAATATAAAAAAATAATATTTAATATAATTGAAAAATATCAATTATTATTATTATTGCAAATTTTTTGGGTACGGAATAATCAAGGTAAATGTAAAACAATTAAATATGAATATTGATGAAGACGTAATCCTTACTATAAAATATTTTTTTTGAAAGTAAAATACGCGTAATTTATTTTTGCAATATTTTGAGAATTACGTGTCCTACGACTGTTTTCGCCCCATTCAAATTAAATGTATTTGTACTGTATTATTGTTTATTGATAATTATACAGGAAATTATGATAACCAAAAAATATGATGTTAAGTTCTATTGAATTAATCTACATCTAAAAGTAAATCATTACATTAAATATATTTTTTATTCCGGATGCTTTTGGAAATAAAAAATAATACTGTAGTGGTTGTAATAATTCATCAATAACCAAGTGACCAACTTTCTTAAGAAATGGAAACCTGAATAGCGGTAGTAGCGGGTATTCCATGATTATTAATGTACAGATAATTTATCCCGGGGGCGATCATGTTTGGATTCGGTGGCATCTTGACGCTCATGGTAAACTCGTTAGTTGCACTTTGTTTGACATTCGTGACTTGACAAATGACGTATCTCTGAGACATGTGAGTCGAGTGTGTCACGAATCCGTAGTGAATCAACGCAGCTGTGAATACCCCAGTTTGTGCCTTAAGATTTAGGGTCGCCGTTACATCTTGGTCATATTTGACTTTTATGGCACCTTTATTAAGGTTCTTATTTCCGGACACGCTCGTTATGGTGGGGCGGGGATACTTGGTTTGTGTAATGTAAGAAGGACTAAAGTATTCTACGCGAAAACTATCGAAAGAATGAGGTTATTATTGGATTCGGTCGTGAAAAAATCCAGAATAAAAAATTTGCAATACATACTCGGTAGGAAATTGGGTGTTATTCGTTACAACGTTTATCTGTGGACTACTTCCGGTGACCTAATAAACAATTAAATAAACATTTATTTATTGCTCATCATTTTGCGGTGCGTCAAATTTCACGAAGTAATACTTACGAAGACGCGACCATCCGGAATAAGAGTTGCCACAGAGTGGTATAATCTAGGGATTTGAGAAGGGGGTTGAGTTGCAAATCTCTGCCCCAAAGGTTTTTTAAAGTCGTAAATGACTGGTGCGAGGACAGGTTCGTCAGCCAATTGTGTTACTACCCCAGTTTTTTTGTCCTTACTGTCTAATGAACAAATTGCAAGACAACAAAGTTAGGTAAGAAATTTACCGCATCAAAGAATATCGGTCTACTTACTGTAGCCAGCAATCCCGCGTCCGGCACCATTCAAGAATAGGGTTCTACCGTCGGCCAGAATTACCGCATCAGGCATCACCCTACCCATCCCACCAAAATTGTCCACTTCCCAAGTGGCTGTTTCCAAATTCGATAAATCAATTCTAGCGCAAGAATCTGAGGCAGGACTCGTTCGATCCATCTTTTCATTACCTCCACATACAAGCACTATAGGTTTGTAATTATCAGCAGGATCTAAAGGTAGCATGACCGATGTGCCAGTCAATGGGTAACTTCGTGGAGGGCCAGGAGTTTGTGGTAATTTTTTCACAATGGTATTTTTACTCCAATCCCAGATTATGCTGTCTCTATTGGCAAGAATAAAGAGCTGGGTTTGTCCAGGTGGTCCAGGCATCAGGTGCATTGCTGGGTAGAGATTGTACGGAAGACTGTTGGTATATTGAAATTTTGGGAGCGGAAAGTTTGTGGTAAAAACTTGAGTTACATTAAAATCAAAAGAAAAAAATTCATGCTTCTTGGCAATTAGGATATGCTTACGTGTCGACCAAGAATTGGAAAGGAACAGGATTTGGGTCGGTTCTCGGGAAGAACTCAAAAGTGGGATTGTTGATCGACTCACTATTGACACCGGAAGCCTGTGTTGAACCGCCAAGGATAAATAGCCTCCCATCCGATAGTCTGCGATGATTTGTGTTAACATAAGTTAGCATCGAAGTTATCTTAATCATATTATGTTTGATGGTAGCTAATCAAAATCACTCTACTCACGATACAACTGAGGGGTACCACCTCTTCGATGTTAAACCCACTGGATTTTCGTACCATTCGCATTTCCCGTCTTGACACGGATTAAAGATACGTAAACTTTCGAATCCAGTTTTATAGGGACCACTCTGAATCGAATAAAAGCATTAAATTTTTGTGTGACGGAATCGATCAATGACTCTTAAAAACTTACATCTTCGGCACCACCGGTGTGAACCAACGACCCGTTTGCTATTATAAAGTAAGTTCCGATCATTAATTGAGAATTATTTGGCTAACTCTAACGAAGAGACAGGTCACCAACCTAAAAATCCCCCGGCCGAACAAAAGGTATTCGTTTTTAATGGCAAGAACCTCTTTGAACCATCAGTGAGATCATATTCTAGCGAAATAACGGCTGTTCCGTCGGGGTATCTAACGGGTTCGTCCTGGGCTAATTAAAACAAGAAAAAAAAAAATCATTAAACCATCAGGTGTATAAAACGTTGGTGATAATTTCTTCTCACATGGTCCATACCTTTGTCGATTATTACGATCTTGTTTGGCTCCGTTAAAACGATGTGCATGGCCGCAATCCCGGAGTTACCATCAACCACGAAGGGGTTTACTCGATCTAAAAATTTCGATGAAAAGTGACAATTAACATACTTTCTCAAGATTCTGACACATGAAAAAAAAAAGTGATAATTACCCAATGAGGTTCTTTTTATTGGGCTCGACGACACCCCAGCGGATAAAGCGACAACAGCCACAAATGCTAGGAAAACTGAAATTATCATTTTGCCGAGTTTGGAGAAAAGAAGTTACTTGAGTAATCTCTGAGAGTGAATGATTTTCGGCGGCAATATTTAATTAGGGATTATTATTAAGGACATACATGAAAAATTTCATCTGGGTCAGTTTAGTGCAAGGCACTATTTATCTAAAAAATTGCCCTTCATACATGCTTTTGAAGCAACTTCATTAAAGTAATATAATACAACACGCGCATCTTATTGAACTGATTTTCAAAAATATATTACTACATCCATACAAGGTTAACCTCGATTTACATTAATAACCATGTTCATAAGTTTCACCTCTGATACGCTTTTTACGGATGTACTTTAAACGCTATAACGGTTGTAGTCACTCTTCTGAAAGAGAATCCGAATTTACAAGTCAAATTCACTATTCTCTACAAGATCATAGGTACCAATTATCTGGAGGTTTTTCTATTAAGAGTGCGGGTTCAATGTTGTCACCGTTTTGTGTAAATTCCTGCCAAGATTCAATAACCAAAATGTTCTAACTCACTAAAGCCTGACACTCTGTAAGATTTTACACCAAATTTTCTATGATTTATATAATTAATTGCCGTTATCGTCTGATGTTCTTAATATGGTAAACATGTTCTAAATGTGTATTATGTCGGAACGTCATCTTTCGATTTTAGCAAAATCCCTTACATGATCAAAGTATTGACCGAATAAAGATACGATAATAATATGTGCATTTTATTATGGACAGCTGTGCCTATCCTTCGAGGGTTAGCACCTGACCATATATATGACTCATTTGATTGGTTACATCGCGACAGCTAATATCGACATAAACCATTTTTTCGAGGTAGGTTGAACTTGTGCAAAAAAGCGAAACAACATCTTTTATTAGGAAAGAGTTGGTGAAACCGTCTACTTTATAGGCTCACAGTTCGTTCCTGGGGAATATATTCCGAGTTTTCGAATAGATCCACAAACCAAACGTCTAAGGCGCGACTTTTAGAGTGTTCTTATTTGCGCATGCTAAAATTAGAACGAATCAATCAATTACGGTATGTTGACTACAACTGAAGTAATTGCTTGATGATAAACAATTGAAAAGCAAAGCTCTCCTGATCACACGATGACCTATCGATTTTCTTTATTGTTCCTCTTATCAAAAGAAATGTACTTTTTTTTTAGAAAAAAAATTCATTAAGGATTCCGAGATATCACGTGTCATCCTTATATAAACTTTATTTTGAATGCAAACTTTCGAGTGAAAATTACTGAAAACACGAATTCGCAAAGATGCATGAATTCCTGGATTATCTTAAATACAACGGGTAAAAAAAACAGTTTACTATTATTAATTTTCACCAATCATGTGATTTATTCTCTAGAAAAGATAGTGTCTCGCTGTGTAATGCATGTTTTCAAAAAAAGATGGCAGAAGATATTATTTTATTTTTTATAAAGAGAAGAGAAAAATTCCATTTTGCTCACCCTTTGAACTTATGTAAAGTAAAATATACATATTGTACTGTGTATTTGTATATTTAATATTTACAAAAATTACATATTCATATTGCACATTCTAAATCTTGAAACAATAGCTGATACAAAATTTGCAAAAACTTGATAAATACAGTATGTACCATATATGTACGATTTGATCTTTGTTAAATAGCAAATTAAATAAATTCTATCCATTTATAAACATTTATACACGGTATTGATATTTGTTATCATTTTTATTTATTTGTTTGTTTCTTTATATTTATTCGTTCGTTTATCATATCATATCATATCATATTATATTATATACTGTATATATATATTAATAAAATTTTTAATTTAACAATATTCATATTATTTTTAACATACTGTACGACATATAATTTTTTAAATTTAAATGAGATTTGTAAAAAATTCAATGAAAATTTTTATAATTCGTCGGATTTTAATTTATTTCATAAACTCATTGAACAAGTCCAAAACAAAAAAAAAACTTACTAAACAAATCAAGTAAAATATCTGTAATCTTATAAAGCAAACACTAAATACAAAATTAAATTATTATTTTAAATCATGTTAAGTTTATATTTTGAAAAATAAAAAATATTTTTTTTCTTATTAATATAAAGAAAATAATCAAATTAATTTTAAACTAATTTTTTAAATTAATTTTTTTATATACCAATATAATGAAAACTGAATTATAAATTTAAATAAATTTTAATATTTATAACAAGATTTTTTTATTTTTTATATAGAATTTATCTTATATATATTATTTATTTACATAATAAAAATTTATATAATTGATAATTAAATATAGTAAAAAGTATAAAATAACAATTGATTTGAAAAACACATATACATAGTAAATATTTATCATTTTTTTTTTTAATGAAAAAGGAATAATGGCAAAAATAAATTTTTGTTTTTTTTAAAAAAATTAGATTATATATTATATATGTATTTATCATTTTATAAAAAAATTCATATTAAAAAAATTTCAGATGACTAAATATTATTCAATAAATTATATTTTTTTTAAAAAAAATTATTTATTTTTGAATCTGAAATTTGTATAATAATAATAATAAATTACTTGTGTCATATATACTGTAATACGTATTAATTTATTTTTATTTTTGAATTTTTTGTTTATACAAAATCAACATTAAAATTCCTAGGTTACCTAAATGAACAAGTAAAAATCTTTTATTTATAAATTCCTAAATTTATACGTATAGGGTTGAACCATTAATATAGATAAAAAAAAAATTTTTTTTTCTATAATTTATAAACATTTCGTGGATCTTATATTATTTAAGTCATATTAGCGAATTATTATTATTTAAAATTTGGATATTGTTGGGGACTTTTTTTTTTAAAAAACGGCAAGAATGCGTTGTGCGACTATCGAAGGGGAGACTTACCCTTGGTTGAGAAAAGCAAAATATCAATGTTTGGTAAACTTACTGCATGGTGTGTTTTCGTTTGCCAAAGTCTTTGTTTTTTTTTTTTCATTAACTATTTATGTAAATACGCAAATTATTAACATTTACTGCGGTCGTTATATAATACTTATTTTTTAAAAAAATTTTACTTTTATATACGAGAAATTTACAAATAGGGCACAGTATTCAAAAGAGATTGTAATATATAAGGACATGTTGGAAAGAAAAGGCATTTCTTAAGAACATTAGTCTATAGGACAAGTTTCTGATGACATTAACTTTAAAAAAAAAAGATGAATCGGACATCGGACATAACAATTTAATACAATGAATGTAATGAATGTGTGACTCCTCAACAATCAACTTCTTTCAATTTTTATCTTTTATCTCCCTATTATATCTATCTATTGTATTAATTGATTCCTCAGGGTTAGGATTACTTACGTAATTCGATGTCGAATTTATATGTATCTATATAAAAGGAAAGATTTACGTGATATCATGATATTATAAATTGTCAATGTGTATGAAAAAGATATCAACTGGCCAATGTAACAATAGCAATAGGTGGTACGTTACCCGACTCTTATAAATATGTAGATGAGACGACTGTTCTCGGATTACCTTTCACTGGGTACAAAAAGAGTTTGTAAACTTCCAATAACAATGACAAACGAATCATTAGAATCTAATGTGGGGGGAGAGATGGCATCCGCGGAAGATAACGCGAATGCGAATTTTGGCGCGCAACAAAATCATAGCGTTAACTCCGTAGACCAAATCAATTTTACACCTCTTTCTATCAATAACGCGAGGCAAAATGATAATTTTTCGACAATAGCAAGGATCTCGACTCGAAACAGCGAAGCAGGTACACATGTAGTTAGGTTTTTCAGCAAATGTCAATCGAGCATGTAGCCATGTATTGCATATAAATGTGCTCATTCTTTCTTTTATAGTGACCTCTAATAAGTCATTTAGTGATCCTCTCCCTTCGCTTTCAAAATCACGAAAATATCATCATGATACCCCTTATACTTACAGCATAACTTTAAAAACCACTTCGACGCCTTCTCGAACACCAAACCTCAGCAATTCCTGGGAATTTGCGGGGTAAGAGAACCATTTTTGTATATCCCGCGAACTTGCATATTATTTTATCAAATTGAATTTTAACAAATAGATGGGGTTCCACCTACTACATTGAACTTCCAACCAACAAGTCACCAGGTAACGAGATCGGAACCCTGCTCGGTCAATGGCGCGCCACTAGTATCGCTGGGAATGATCTTGTAGCGTCAGTTTTGTATACAATCGGAATCTGTACAGTTGTAGCGGGAAAATACGCACCCATATCGCTTTTTATTGTTACACTTATACTTTACCCGTTTCAAGGAATTATGAGCGAGGTGGGCTCGGCGTTACCGCTTAACGGTGGATCATACAATTGCTTGTTAAACACATCTTCCAAATGGTTCGCAACAGTTGCAGCCGCATTGGAATTGCTGGATTACGTGACAACAGCTGTTGTTAGTGCAGCGACGGCTACATCATATCTCTCCGGGCAATTTAACCTATCGTCATTTGTTGTATTCTGGATGACCGTTGGCCTACTTATAGTGACTGCTGGTGTTGTAATATTGGGAATCAAAGATTCTTCCAATTTGGCATTTACGATTTTTCTTTTTCATTGTTTCACCTTGACTTTGCTGATGGTTGCAAGTGTTGTGCGGTGGATCATCCAAGGGAATAGCGTGTTGGCTGAAAATTGGAAGGATCCAGGGTCAGGAAATCCCATGCTAGACATCTTCTACGGCACGTGCATAGGGCTCTTGGGTATTACCGGATTCGAAACTTCAGTAAACTATATCGAAGAACAAAAACCCGGTGTTTACCAAAAGACCGTACGAAATATGTGGGCACTATCTTCTTTCTTTAATGCGCCAATTAGCCTGTTGGCTTTAGCCATAATGCCGATTTCGACTTTTAAGGTTCATCAAAATGATATCATTTCTACTATGGGAGGGCATGCGGCTGGATCATGGTTGCAAACCCTTGTAACCATTGATGCAATAATAGTATTAGGGGCTGGTGTGTTAACCGGGTTCGTTGGCGCCACCGGGTTGATTCATCGAATGGCATCCGATCGCATATTGCCGCAATATTTGTTATATAGGAACAAGTTTGCTGGAACTTACCATTGGATAATAGTGAGTTTTCTTATCTTTTGCGTAACCCTCTACGCAATTGTTGGAGGAGATTTAACTTCATTATCCGGAGTATTTGCCGTCTCATTTTTAAGTGTATTGTGCATGGTGTGTTGGATTTCATTATATATATATATGAAAGGTATATTTCGAAGATTTAAACCTGAATTTCACATCATTGTAGTTTGCCATTGGGAATATCCTCTTGAAATACAAACGAGGAAGATTATATCGGACGGTAAGGGAAACAAGAATTTCCATTTCGTTTAATGAAACCATCTCACCTATCGACTCTTTTATCACATCACGAATTACGGAATCAAGGTTCGAGTGTCCACCGGAGTTGCCATGTTTGGTGTTGCATCCATATTGACCGGTTTGATTGGCAATATAATTTACAACCCATCAATATTTCGATACTTTGTAATCTATTTTGGAATATTGTTTTCTATAATGCTGATGATGTTAAATTACGTTTGGATATTGAAAACGTTGTTCTTTTACCTGGATAAAATCGTAATTTTGCATAAATATAAAGTAGCCGATGTGATAGTGAGGTTAATCAGAAGACGGAAAAATCAGCCGGTGGTATTTTTCACAAACACGGACGAAATACACATCCTTAACAAAGGTAAACCCATATCGAATTTACGCGCTTCATGTATCGAATTAAATCTTTTCGATGCGCTGACTTCTTGGAATATAGCTGTTTTGTATGTCAAGAGTTCAGAATCCAGCGGACACTTGAAATTTATTCATCTCTACGAAAGGATCGAAGACGTACGCGCTTTTTATCATGACACGGATATTCGTTATTCCAATTATAAAACCGTCATATAACATAATGTTGATTTTTCAGATTCCCCCAAGACTTGAAGCAAATCACCGCGTCCTCGATGAGGTGATTTTTCTTTATCTCGACATCTTCGTACATACCGATTCTTTTCATTAACAATCTTTCAAAATAACCATTTTCCGCAGCTTTACCCTAAAATCCAGATCGATTTGGTAAACAGACATCCTGAAAAATCTGATGTGTTGGAAAGTACATGAGCAACAGTGTTACATTTATTTTTTATCTTTAGATGTTTATCCAAGGGAAGTTCGATCCCGAAACAGTAGGTGCCATATCAGCTCATTTGAAGATTCCGAAAGTAAGCTAAACACGCTTAAAGATTTAACAACAGTGTAATCTCCTTCACTCATATTCTAACCTCTTCACTGTCACCCATTTATAGTCTCTAATGTTCATTTCGTGTCCGGGAGAAAAATTCCCATATAAGATCGGCGAATTTGGAGGCGTAAGAACGATAATGCTTTAGTCGACAACATTTTAAAATTCGGAGTTACGGCGGGCCCATAAATGAACATACGTCTTTTTTAAGAAAAACCATTATTATGTATGTAACAAAATGTTAGTTAACCATCGCACCGCGTAATGTATTCTAGAAAAGGAATTTACATAAACTTGCCATACGTGATTACTTCGCCAAATGATCGAATGTTATCTCACATGACATAACACAAATATGTGTAGTAACTACAGTACAATATATAATGCCATATTAGTATCCGTCAGTAAGTCGAAATCGGTTTTCTTCTCCAAGCATCTTCAAGAATGACAAAAGAAACTTTGAAGTCAAAGGAGAAAATAAAAAAATCAATTACTCGAGGTTACTGTAAAACATGTAATCTCCTAAATACAAGCTTTGATTGGTGTCAGTCATGCAATTCGAAAAGATTTCGCCAAAATTTTGAGAGGTGGACAAGCGGAAACGTTCATGTCGACAATTTAATAAAAAGGATGCAAGAGGAGGCAACCAGTTCTAAAGAAATTTTGGAATGGATTCCATGGATAAAGTTAAAAAATTTTAGACAGGTTGGTCGTGGCGGCTTCGGTGCGGTGCATGTGGCTAACTGGGTTGATGGCTACATTGCATATTGGCAAGAAAAGGATCATGATTGGGGGAGATACGAGGGCGGTTCAGAAGTCGCTGTCAAAGTTTTTGAAAACTCTTCAAATATTACCGAACACTTTTTAGAAGAGGTATTGACCAGGATTCGTCGATTTTTTTTCCTTCCTTTCTAAAGAATGCCGCTGAATATATATATATCTGTATTTTTTTTTAACCAAAGATATTTGCAGCGCACCGATCCAATGTGCCAGGATTGATTAGGTGTTTTGGATTAACACAACAACCCAGGACAAAAAACTATGCGTTGATAACCGAATACGCATCGGTCAGTCTCCGTCAGGTTATCCATTCACCCGCGAAAAGTTCACTCAATGCGCAGGATTATTCCAAGGAGAAATTGAAAATACTAATGGACATCGCCTCAACTCTAGATAAACTTCACTCTCTGGGAATAGTCCACAAAAACCTTCACAGTGGAAACATATTAAAAAAGTCAAATTCAACTTTTATGATCAGCGATCTTGGTTTATGTTTTCAAGCCAACAAACACGCGCATGACAAAGAATTCTATGGAGTTGACGCATATACCGCCCCCGAAGTAAAACGAGGAAAACCCCATACCAAGGAATCTGATATTTATAGCTTCGGTGTATTGATATTGGAAGTTTTCACAAAGTCGATTATATTCCCAAATGTACAGTCCGAGACTCGGGTAGAAGTTCGACCCGAAATTCCAGACAAGTTACCATCCCCGATATCCCACCTCATTACAAGGTGTTGGGAAGAAGTTCCCGAAAATCGTATGCATTTGGACGAGGTGCATCGTGTTTTATCGGGATGGTGGGCGAATCTTTGGGATCAGGCCGACCATGATCTTATGAAACAATTTGAAGCTTGCGACCTACAATACATTACTTCTAGTCGCAAATTTACCATAAGCAAGTGTCTAAATAAAAGTAGGTGTCAAGTTTCTCGTTTATTTTAGGTGCTCTTATTTCTTCATCACATACTTACCTCTATGGTACTTGACCTAGTCGCGAAAGAGGTAAGTTTTGACAATGAAACCGATTCGGAAGACGAGTTTAACCCGCACAAACCACTTTCGGAAGATTCAAATATTGATTTTTCGGGACTCGGAATTTGATAACCCTGACCTGTTTGAATGACGAACATTCTCTCGATTCATCAATTCCTTTAATTGCATATTCGTATGCACCAATCGACTATATCTTTTGTACAAACATCAACTTTACACATCGCATGGTAATGAAAACAGTGCCGACTAATTTGATGTCATGATAATATCTGATATGCTATTAATCTTTTATTTCAATTATATTGATGCCTAACATTTTATTAGTGGCCAGCGTTCGTAAAGAATTTTTCTTCTCGAGATTTGTAATAATATTAAAAGATGCTCATAAATGTAAAAACTTTTTTACAGTACCCACGTACGTGTTATATATAGGGATATCGATTAGTCTGCACTGAAAATTAGCACGGTTTCTAGAAGAGTCTATATTTAATAAACAGAATATTTTTTATTACTAGCTAAAAAAGTTTATTACGAACATCGCTACGTGAGTAACAGGTATCTTATTGTCAATTACTATTATTAGAATGCCTATAAACAATGCCATTTCACATTTATAGTCATGTTTTCATAACCTGTTTGTTAATAATATCAAGGGTAAATTTAATATTAATATCAAAGTAATATTGGTTAGGAGTTTTAGAATTTTGACAATTAAGTTGTTAATCATGGATACTAAAGTATCTTATATAAATATTAAAATATCTTATATAACAATTTCAAGACATTTAACAAGTTTAGGTTATAAAAATAATATATTTTTAGAAACTCTTATACTTGCCACTACTTATAAAAAGCTTGTATTATTTGAGCAAAAAAATATCTTTATTTTCTGATAAATCAGTATTTCAATTATTCAAAAATATAATTACTCAATAATATAAAAATACAAAATTAATTAGAAAAATATCTAAAGATTGTATTAAAACTTTTGTATAGAAAGAATTTTATATAAAAGAAAAAATTTATCTTTTTTGTTTTAAAAAAATTATAAATATAAAATTTTATGTTAAAAAAAAACTCTTTCCTGCAAATCTCCAAATTCCTAAAAATTTCCTTTTTTGATAATACTACAAAACACTCAAAAAACACTCAAAGAAATACTCAAAGAGATCATCCAAAGGAAAACTTCGCAATATCTTCTTGGAAATAAAGGAGGACAAACATAACAGGTATACTGTGGGTTCAAAAAGTATATTGTCATATATCGTTTCTACCTCAGGAGAAAGATAAAGATAGAGAACTAGTAGCAGGGAGGCACTTTAGATGGACAGGGCCA